GGCCGCTCATGCAATCACCCGTGCCCCTGGAGCCTACCCAGAACCACTTGAGGACCTTGAAGGCCCAGACGGGGAGATCATCACCGACCCCTACCAAGTCATGAATAAGAAACTTGAATACTGGATGAAGAAGTGGGACCCGAAAGACAAAAAACACCCTGCCCCGTTCGAGCCACTTTGGGTCCGGAAGGTCCGTCTGCAAGCCATTGAGGATTGGCAGTTAGACTACCACGACTGGGAGACCAGCGATATCTTTAATGTCGTGGCCCTCTACAAGCCCTCCGCAGCTCCAGGAGGCGATGGATGGTCAGTCCGCGATTTCCTCTGCCTGCAGGACGAGGGCCGCCAGGATTTCACACTTTTAATCAACCAGATCTGTCGGCGACAGCAACTTCCCCTCCAGGTCCTACTCAACCTCATCTTCCTCCAGCCTAAAAATGCAGAATGTGACCGACCCCTGACCCTTACGATTGGATTGTATCGGGTGCTTTGCAAGCTTTTCAGGACGGAACTTTCCTCGTGGGACCAGGACTCCGCGGGCTTCTGGGACCAGGCGCTCAAGGGGAACGATGCACTCAGGGCCGCAGTTTTATCAGAAGTAGCAGCAGAGATAGCATCAGCAGGAGGTATATCTATGGTAGAAGCTCTCCTCGACTTAGAAAAGTTCTTTGACTCAGTGGAACTTGAGTGGATGGTCCACTCGGCACTTCGCCTCAATTATCCGACCCCCCCGCTGGCCTTGGCGCCCATGGTCCATCGGTGTACTAGGGTCCTCACGTCGGCGATCTGATGTTCAGATTTTGCAGTGCCTGACAAGTCCATGCTGCAGGGCTGCGGGCAAAGTTGCTCTATGGCACGCGCATTTCTGTACCACGTGTTAGATAAGTTCCATCGGGATTATACGCCGCTCAGTTTCCGCACGTGGGTGGACGACCTCCGAGTGCGCATGTGGGCATCATCAGAGCATATATTGCGACTGTTCCCTGCTGCCATGGTCTCGTTGGGGCAGGACCTCGCGCGGCAAGGGTGCAGGCTTTCGCCCAAGAGTTGTTTGATGGCCTCCAGTTCGACTTTGGCCACCGGCGTCGCCCAGCGTCTTGAGAATGCAGGGGTAGCCATTTCAGTGCAGCGCCAAGGCAGGGATCTTGGAGTTGATGCCACACTAGGACGACAACGTAGACTTAAAGTTCGTAAAGCTAGACAAGCAGCAGGATATACCCGCCTTGGGAAGATTCGAAGGCTCACTAAGAAGATTAAGAAGGCCCGTAGTCTGGTCAGTACTGGGGCCCAACCTCAACTTGTCTGGGGATTCCAGGGACAAGGGGTGGCTCCCACGGCTCTCAGGACCCTCAGAGGCAAACTCGCTACTACCATGGGGATTGTTTGTAAGTCGGGGTGTACTACGACTGCGTACGCTTTATTAACTAAGGGGCATCTGGTCACGGATCCAGGCTACTATATTCCCTTGGGGTGCTTGCAGCTTTGGTTTTCCATCTTGAATCAGGAGGAACATTTACACGTTGGGGTTGAACGAACGTGGCCCAAGACCCTTGCTCGACTCCAGGGGCCAGGTAGGTGGAACAAGGTGTATAGCCTCATGTCGTCCGTGCTGGCCTACCTCTTAGACTTCCGCTGGGAGGTTTCGCATCCATGGAGGTGGACCAGCCCGTACGGCCAACAGTACCACATCAAGCCAGGTAACGGCGAAACCGGTCCCGTCACGGGCGACCAGTCCGCTGTCATAGATATCTTCACCGCGTGCATCACCCAGAAGTACTGGGGGCAGGCGGCCGAATACTACTGTGGGGGAGGAGGAGATGCAGGAGTGGATGTACACCAGTTTCGACAGCACGTAGGAGGATGGAGGAGGAGTTCGAAACACCTGCTTACTGCTGCTTATTCTGTTGCCAAGGGTTGCATCTGGCATGGAGCCAGAAGGTTTAAAGCAGGCATGGCAGGCCCTCCAGGCTGCTGGAGATGTGGGGCCCCGTGTGAAGATGCCTTTCACGCCTATTGGAATTGCCCTGCCCTCATTTCCCTGGGACATGAGCATGATGAGATCCGTGACTCGCAACACCTCCTCCCCAAAGCTCGGGCTGAACGAAACATATTCCCGATCAAATGGTTCCGAGGACTCCAGCCGCAGGAGCAGACGGTCGGTTTTCTAGCCTCCAGACCTAGGAACAGCCAGGTGTACGGGACGGGCTGCCTTCGCACGGGCCGCTTCAGTTTCACCGAGACCAGGCTTGTGGGCACGGACGGGTCAGGTGGAAAGTTCTCTGCTGACCCCCGCCTTCGACGAGTAGGATGGGGACTTGTTCTCATGGGACGTGATAACTGGGCCCAGGGAACCCTATATGGTCTTGCCGCAGGAGCCCAAACTATCAACCGAGGTGAACTTACTGCTGCCATATATGCCTTGGCCCTTGAAGGGCCCATCGTCATCGTTACCGACAGTGACTATCTCATGAAAGGCGTCCGCAGGGGTGAGCAGTGGAAACATAAAAGTAACACCGACTTGTGGCTTCTCTTTTGGCAGGCCTATAATGACAGGACCCATCACGTCGCCTTTAAGAAGACCAAGGCGCACGCCACGTTGAGCGACATCAGCGATGGCACCGTGCGCCCCGACTTTTACATTGCCAACGCCGCCGCCGACGCCGTTGCGCGCAGAGCGGCCGGGTTTTTCGGATTCACGGAGGAGGAGGTTTTGGAGGTCCAGGCCAGGGATAAGGAGATGCAGCTGATCAGATCCCGTCTTGCATGCATCCAAAATCTTAACTGGAAATACGGCCCGAGCCCGCACTGTATCATCAAATGGGGGGGTACCACAAGTTGTGCCCGCTGTGCTGCTTTTTCTGTCACGCCTTCTCCAGGATGGGTTTCGCAGGTGTGCTTACCCAGGAAATATATATTTGAAGTCCACCCCTCCCACCACCCCAACATATGTATGGTAAAAGGGGTGGTGTTCTGTTCCAGATGTGGGGGGTGGGCAGCCTCTCGAGCCACCAAACTTTCAGGTCCTTGCGAAAAGCCAACAAATACGGGGATCAAAGCGTCTCGTCGGTTGTTGCAGGGACAGAAGCCTAAAGGGCTTCTCGAATGGCCCGTGGGACAACTTGCCCATTTAAGAACGCAGGTTGCGACCCGCTGTGGCCTTCCACGAGAGAAGATAATCTCGTGAGTCATTTTCAGAAGGGCCCTGGCGCGCAGGGAGCCCACCTTCTAGTGCAGGTCAATAGGTCAATAGGAGGAGGAGAAAGAGGACGAGGTTGGGGGAGGAGGAGGAAGAGTAGAAGGAGGGCGAGGTGGAGGAGGAGGGTAAGGAGGAGGAGGAGGAGGAGGAGGAGGAGGAGGAGGAGGAGGAGGAGGAGGAGGAGGAGGAGGAGGAGGAGGAGGCGGGAGGAGAAGAGGAGGAGCGAAGAAGGAGGAGGAGGAGGAGGGAGGGAGGAGGCAGGAGGAAGGAGGAGGGAGGAGGAGGAGGGAGGAGAGGAGGGGGAGGAGGAGGAGGAGGAGGAGGAAGGAGGAGAGGAGGAGTGGAGGAGGAAGGGGAGGAGGAGGAGGAGGAGGAGGAGGAGGAGGAGGAGGAGGAGAGAGGGAGACGAGGACGAGGACGAGGAGGCGGGAGGAGGATAGGGAGGAGGCGGACGAGGAGGAGGAGGAGGACGAACGAGCAGCAGGAGGAAGAGGAGGGGCAGGAGGAGCAGGAGGAGGAGGAGGAGGCGGGAGGAGGAGGAGGAGTCCGAGTAGGAGAAGGAGGATAAGGAGGAGGAGGAGGAGGAGGAGGAGCAGAGAGCAGAGCAGCGCCGATGATCCGATGAAGTCAACCGCCTTGAACAACCGCACCCTGCAGGGCCACAAGGGAAAAACAAAAAACGGATCAGGCGTTCGAGAACCACTTAAGGGGCCCGAGATTCTGTGGGGCCCTGCAGGGGGATTCCACTGGCATATCAGCGAGACCCCCAAAAAGGGGACACCTAGGGGGCTCGCCTATGCACTCCCTCCACTGACCAGGGCCGAGGGACGGCGACGCATTAAACCGACCCCAGCACAACCCCTTTCAGTCCTCCTCGGCGCGGCGCGGCACGGCCCAAACGTCGGAGGTCCGCAGGGAACCCGAGAGACGACCCTCGCCCAGGGAACTCGCGGCCAGCCGAAGCTGACGGGAGGCCTCTGAAAGCCTCTGGAGCGTCTCGACGCCGAAGGAGGCCTGAATGGGGGGGGTCCTAAAGAAAAGTCTAACCTCCAGGGCCCCATCCGAGTACTCGAGGATCGGGGAGAGGGTCCGAGCCTGGAGGGCGAGGAGGGTTCCGTCTGGGAGGCGGCCCTGGAGGTACAACTCCGCGGTGCGGCGCGAGCCGTTGATAGATTGCAACCTGAAACGGGCAGGTCGACTCACAGCTCGTCGTCGTCCTTGTCCTTGTCCCTGCCGTCGGGCGCTGCCGCTGGTTTGTCCTTCATCCCGAGCTGCGCCAGCAGCTTGGAGGCTTCGCGCTCCAGCCCGCCTCTCGGCGGCGCCCCTGGGAGAAAGCGCACGGTCTGGTCCTTCTTGTCCGTGCCTGCCGCCATGACCGTCTGCTGAACCGCCTCCATCAGCGATGCTGTGCCGTCTCCCCAAGGGTTCGCCTGCTGCGGGATGCCAAGCATGATCTGGAGCTTGAACCTGTCGGGCTTGGTGAGCTTCTTCTTGTCGTACCAGCAGGCCTTGAGTCGGAAGTGGCGGCAGTGGATCGCCAGCGTCTCGAGCGCCGACGGGGCTAGGATGACCTTCTTCCAGTAGTCCTGGAACACCGTCTGCGCTGCCGCTGGAGTCGTGCTGGCCCCCTCCGTGCTGCAGGCCCACTTGATGAACGCCTTGAACACATGCGGCCAGGGAGGGCCGTGCTGGTGGTCCTTGCCGTCGGCCTTGCAGTTCTCGGCGTACGTCTTGCCCGTCTCCTGCAGCACCTTGACGAACGGGACCTCTGCCCCGACCATGTACGAGGTGTAGCAGGCGCCAGTCACCTCGGCCAGCTCGCGCGCGTTGGTGAGGGCGAGCCTCGAGGAGGAGGAGGAGGCGGATGAGGAGGCGGAGGAGGAGAAGGCGGATGAGGAGGGACGGATGGAGGGAGGAAGGGGCTAAGGGAGGGAGGGAAGGAAGGGGAGGTGCGATACCAACATGGTCTTGGGGCCGCGCCGCCCGCCGCCAGCTGCGCCCGCAGCGCGGCCCCCCTGGCGGCATGGCCGCGTTCAGGGACGCCAGCGACGGGCTCCGCTCCTGCAGCGGCGCGATTGGGGGGGGGGGGGGGCGGCGGGGGGCGGCGCGGAAGGGCGTCCCATCCCTCGCCACGTCTCGGAAACATTTTTGTTCGAACACACACACACAAGTTGCAGCCCCTGCTCCGATTCAGCACGGCTAAAAAAGGCACGTTCGGTTGTATTGAATCCGCTTCCCCTCAAGGGGGCTACACCCGCACCTCGCCACGTCTCGGAAACATTGGGCGGAACAGCTCGGTCATCTTTGTTGGCTCCAGGCTTCGTTCGGAAGTTGGCCGACGGGTGGGGATGGGGGGTGGGGTTCTGGACCTGGGCCGGTGCATCGTCGATCTGCTTTTACCAATCGCGCAAGCAAGCGGGGGGGAGTGCAGAACAGTCGCCAGAAGCAGCCGCCAAAAGTAGCCAAGATCTGATCTATTGGGGAAAGGGGGGGCACGCCGATCGGCGAAACAAACAAGAAATCAACAACAGCCCGAGCTGGCCCTGCATGGTGTAGCCACAAGAGGCCAGCGCGCCCACCTCGTTTTCGGCCAACCTCGCTTCCAAACGGGAGCCAAGTGGTACCAGGATGCTCGCGATATGGCCCGCATCAGTCAGGCTGCTTGACAAGGAGGCGCGTGGTATGACTTGGTCTTGCCTGGAAGCGAAAACGGGGAGGGCATTGCACAATGCAAAGGTCCGCCCTCATCGCCAGGCCGAAGATCGGCGGCGCGCCCGGGGGGAAGGCAGCAGGGGCGGGCTTTACCAACGGGCCCACCAAGGCCTCTGGCCCCTTGACGGGCTTTCTGCGCCTTCGCCAGGAGACCCGCGCCGTCTGAGAAGGCCTGCCCCATTTCACTTCCACCCTCGGCACGCCGCTGGCGGGAAGGGGTTGAGGGGTGCGCAAGTCACCGAGGGAGCAAGAGAAGGAGGCCCAAATCAGGCACAGGGACGGGGAACGGAAAATGGGACGGGGCGTCCAGCCGGCGACGCGCCTTGGGAGGAGCCTTTTGGAGGGGGGGAGGGGGGGGGGAAACGCTGCTGACCGCTCCCTCCGCCCTCGCCCTGGAGACGAGGGAAAGGGACGTCGCCAGACGTTCACAAATAGTTGTTGCGGCGACGAGGGTGCTGCTTGAGCCTGCGGAGGCGCACCTCCTGGACACCCGCCCGGGGGCCTACGCAAGAGACATCCCAGGAGGGTGGAGGCTCCACGTCCTCCTTCTTCTTCTTCTTCTGATTACTATTAATATTATTATTATCATTATTATTATTATTATTAGTAGTAGTATTATCATTATCATTATCATCATTATTATTATTATTACTAATAATATTATTAATAGTATTATTACTATCAGTATTACTATCACTATTATTAGTATGATTATTATTAGTAGTAGTCGTAGTAGTAGTAGTAGTAGTGGTAGTAGTAGTAGTAGTAGTAGTAGTAGTAGTAGTAGTAGTAGTAGTAGTAGCAGTAGTAGTCGTAGTCGTAGTAGTCGTAGTAGTAGTCGTAGTCGTAGTAGTATAGTAGTAGTAGTAGTAGTTAGTAGTTAGTAGTAGTAGTAGTAGTAGTAGTAGTCGTACTAGTAGTAGTAGTTGTAGTAGTAGTAGTAGTAGTAGTAGTAGTAGTAGTAGTAGTAGTAGTAGTAGTAGTAGTAGTAGTAGTAGTAGTAGTACTACTACTATTATTTTCTTGTTCTTCTTATTCTTCTTCAACGTCCAATTCGTCGTCTTCCGCCTCGTGTTCCTTGCTGTCTCCCTCCCCCTCTCGCAACGCCATCGGGCGTCCACTCCCGCGCTCGCGCGCTCGGGGCTCCCCAGCGCGGCGGGCGACCGGCCCGGCGGGAGCGCGGGGGCCCCCCGGTCGCCACTTGGGGGCCCTGTCCAGAAAGGGGGGGAGAAGGGAGAGGAACCGCATCCTGTGCCATACCATCCTGAGGCCCACAGAGGAGGATACGGAGGAGGAGGAGGATACGGAGGAGGAGGGAGGAGGAGGAGGAGAGGAGGAGGAGGAGGAGGAGAGAGGAGGTAGGAGGAGGAGGAGGAGGAGGGGAGGGGAGGAGGGGAGGAGGAGGAGGAGAGGAGGGGAGGAGGAGGAGGAGGAGGAGGAGGAGGAGGAGGAGGAGGAGTCGGGTCATGCGCGAGTCAGACTGCGGAGTCAGATACCGAAGACGGCGTACCTTGCGCGTAAAGTTGTCCACGGCGTACCGTGTCCGTAGCGCGGTAGGCGTAACACGTCACAGGCGTTCGGTGATATGACATGGCGCCGGTAGCGGAGTACCCCCGTATTTGTCTGGTAATCGTGCGCAGTACTTCCTAATTATCGTCCCCCTGGGTGCTGCCACGCGCACGTTTGGCGTGTCAGTATTGGGTCGTCTGCATGGTGGGTTCATTGTGCGTACCCGATGGGGATTGGGGATCGTTGGTCTTGTAGCAGTCCTGTGTAAATCGGGTTGCCCTGGCAATCCAGAAAACCCACGAAGTACGTAGCGTCTCTTGTAATAATAGCCTGGTTATGTATTTTGGCTTCGTTTGCCCAGTCGCACTCGTTGTAGTTAATGTAATATACGTTCATATGTGTACTGGTCGGCTTCCATAGAACTTGGCAGCAATCGCCTTTTCGAGCCCGCCGGAAGTAGGATACCCTGCGCCAATCTCGAGCGAGATGTAGTCCTCCTTCTCAGGGTCCCATGGGATGTAGTGGAACCGCACTGCCACGTCGTATGGATGGCTCTCTCCCAGGATGTATTGTTTGGTAGCAAGCCAGTAGCCGTCTCGCAGATGCGGTGGTGGATCTTGCCCATGATGTGGTCCTTGGGGGCGGTCGTCGATGATGCTATCACAAGTGCCTTCAATGCACTTGGTCGTATACACATTGATACGTTTGTCGTAGAGATCGTTGAAGTGGTGACGCAGTGCCGATGTGACCTCGCTGATATCTGAGTAGGTTCTGTCGTCACCTCCATGGGTTACCTTAGAAACAAACTGCATCCGTTTTACCTGGTACGGTAGATCGCGTAGCCAAATCCCAGCTTCGGCTAGCACGTGTTGTCCGACAATATCGACGATACGGTGGTAGTTCGCACCGGACATGTGGCCTGCAATGGGCCTGCAATGTGAGCCAATATCTCCATGAAGGGGCCACGGAGCGTGCGGAGCTTCGGATGTCAGGTCCTTGCGCAGTAGTAAGCATGATGGAACAGTGTAGGCAGGCGAACACATGGGAATCCAGAGTACGGTGACGGTGTAGGCAAACTCGGGTTTGTCCTGCGGTGTCCGAGGACGAACGCAGGGAGTAAGTCGAATACTTCCTGATTCCTTGGTAGCGATGGGTCACGGGGGGGAGAGCGGAGGAATGATGAGGATGTACTTTGTGCTCTGGTAGTCGAGCAGGAGAAATAGTAGCCCTCGCCGTTCTTCGCGGTCTCACCTATGACGGCTTGTAGTGATTGCCCTCGTGGAAGGGTGTCTCGTCGTCCTCGATGTCTTTCTTGTCCCCGGACTTCTTGTCCTAGTCGTCGTCCTCGCTCTTGAAGTACACGGGTGGGCTGTCGTAATGCTTCACGCTGACGTGCATGATGTCCTTGCCCTCCAGCTTCGGGGGGTCGCCCACGAGGTGCTCCTTCACGGTCGTGCCCATGAAACTTACCAGCTTGGAATCCGCGTCGTAACTCTTTAGATTCTTCCACTTGCCCTCCTCTGTGTACTCGCCGTGCTCGTCGTGGATGCGGATGTAGTAATGCACCGTACACCTCGTTGATGTTGTACGAAGAATAGTGGGGACGTGCCGTCAGAAGCACCATGTCGCTCTGCAAGCAGTAGTTGTACACCGCGATCTGGTCCAGGTACTTGATCTCGTAATCGTACTTCTCCTGGAAGAGCTTGGCCCGCAGGTTTTCCTTGAGCAAGGCCACGTTCAGCTTCTCAGACGTGGCACCGTTGTGTGCAGGATCTCGCCAGTGGGCTCGTAGTAGAACTTCACGTTCACCTGGTGCGGGAGGTCCGCTGTGGCCCTGTAGATGTACCTTCGGTGGGGGACAGAGAAATTCGGGTTGAGCGGCACCCAGTCGGAACTCTTGTCGTGGATCGCTCCGGGGCGCCTCATCTTCCTCCGCCTCGTCTTCATCCTCATCTCAATCCTCCTCCTCCCCCTCCTCCTTCACATCATCACCACCACCATCATCGTCACCACCACCACCATCATCATCATCACCATCATCATCATCATCATCATCATCATCATCATCATCATCATCAACATCATCATCATCAAGATCAACATTAAAAACAACATCAGCATCATCAACTCATCAACATCAACATCCACAAACTCATCATCAACGTCATCATCACCATACGAGACGGTAGGGGGTGGTCAATTAAACGCCAGGCGTGCAAAGGTTTGTCGATGGGCGACGCAAGCAGGCAATTTGGGATAATGGCTAAGCGTGCGAAGGTGAGGGCGCACAGCATGAACATCGTTCTCGCTGTTATCTGCTCAGGCAGAGGCTAGCAGCAGTGCGCTGCTCAAAAACAGGCTGCCCACTTTCGACCACTACGCTGGACTTGATGGCATGTCAGCAAGATTCCGCCATCAAACTTTCACGTGAATGCTCGGCCAGATGGTTTCGATTGTGGACGTATCCAGCGAACGAGGAGCTCTATCGCAAGTGCAGAATCAAATACTTGCGGAATGTCGTGCACTAGCGTTTGCTGGCATTGTAAGCTCCTGTCGTGATTCGGTAGTGCGGATGTGGCGCTGTCAACACCCATGGAATATTATTTCTCCATCGCGTTGGCGACATCTTTCGAGTGGTGGCGATGGCGGCGAAGTAGCGGAGTTGCAATTCCCAGATCTCAACCTCACGGGGTTCGAAGCTGATCCGGAAGGCTTTTACATACAAGCCCGAACAGTCTCAGTGGAGTTCGGCAGCCATTCACTGCGGCGGGAAAAGTGTGCGCGATGGTGTTGATGACCCGTTGCGTCGGAAGCTTATGCAGGATCTGGCCAAAGCCTCCCAAAGGAGCGGTGCTGACAGAAACCATGCTGGCAATCGCGATCGGATGCACGCGGGCCAGAGGTCTGTTGTTGTACGGCGCCGAAGGGGACCCTCACCTATGCTTGAGCTCTCGATGTTTGGGCAACGCCTGTAACCTTAATAAACCAGTGTCCGCTGGTGTTGGAGCTGCCCCCATAATCACACCAATCACACGAATGTTGAACCATATTCTGTCACGCCATGGCGCCACATGAACAATTTGAGTGTTGTGTTTGCTGCGGGGCTTTCTGCCGCAAGCTTGGACGCATCCGCCTCAGCCACCGGTGGCGGGGAAGTGACGTCTCACCATCTCCTGCATGTGCGGAGCAAGCTCCCTCGGCGTTGGTACGCCAAACCGTATGTCTGTGGCGATGCTCGCTGGAGCCCAGGCACACCCAAGTTGTCCTTGCTCAAGCTGGGAAGTAACATCGTGTGGGTCGCTGTTCGGTTTCCATATTGTTCTGGGATCATTGGCAAATTTCCGCTGCCAGGTCGTCGGCGAACGGTGTAATGCGGAGAGCTGGCAGCACCAGAGGCGGCCATCAGATTGTCTCTAGGAATGCCAGTGCTCGTGGCAGGTGCTGTAATCAGTCCATGTGGACGAGTTGAGCAATCGTCACCATTCCCATCCACGAACGGCAGCGAACCATGCCAATGCGTGAGGGGCAGCGTCAGCAACATCGTACAAGTTTAGATGGGAGAGCAAGCACAAGGCAACTCCTTTTTTCATGAGCCCGCACATGATTGCTTTGGAGGCTATCGTGAAACGGATATCAATGGTGGATTGCTGGATCGCCGGGGAAAAACACCGGCGGGCAGACGAGACTCCATGGAAGAGGGCGAGCCCTAGCCGAGGCCAGGACTAGGACTGCAAGGCACGTGCACCGTGCAGAGTTGTGTCGACTGCGGTTAGGCACGAGATCATATGTATGCCATCCGCGCTGATACCCGGCTTCAGAGCGAAAGGAATCACCAACAACATCGTCCTTCTCCTTTGTCGTGGCGAGATGCAGTGCTTGTCACGTTCTGGGTAGAGGCGACAAGCGCAGCATAGTTCATAACGGTTCGACGCCGCAATAGGCTGTATGTACCACCACTCGACTACCCCCCTTCTTGTAAGGTTGAGCCATTCGCGGGACTGTAAGCAAAGCGCTTGTGAAGAAGCATGTGCGCTGTACGGGGGGGCAATGTAATACTCATGACCTCCCTTGTCACAGTGATTTGAACATCTGTCTGTGTGGTAGCTGTGGCGGCTGCTCCGCCTCCTCCTTCTCCTTCTCTTCCCACGTTCGGAACCTCAATCAATAATGTAAACGTGAACGAACCCATGAATAGCTGCAGAGGTTTAGCCATTTGCTATGCCCCAAGCCGAGGAACAGCCCATTGACCTGCTTCGTTATTTTCTGCATGTCGTACTTTCTGCATGTCGCTTCGCCAACTGGCCGTTCCCCCCCCCCTCCACCGCTGCCGCGCCGCGACACCGAGAAGCTCGCGGCGGCACACTTCCTTCTCGGACATGCCTCTTCGAGGCCAAGCCAGACCCCAGATCTCTAACACACATTCACATTCACATTCAAATTCACATTCGCATTCACATTTAAATTCACACACGCACAAAACAACCACACACCCCTCCCCCCCCATCACCCCATACGTGCTCTTTCTCTTCCCAAGCTCCACCCTCCCTTCTCCACTCCCCCCTTCCCCACCTTACCCCTCCTCTCCGTTCGTTCCTCCCGCGTCACTCCCCCCCCACTCTCCTCACCCCTCCCCCTGACCCCCTCCACTTACCCCTCTACCCCTCCATCCCCTCGCCTCATCAGCTTTGCCCCCTCCCCCTTCCCCCCGTGGCCAGCCCCTCCAGATGAATGGAAGTTTCTACAACGAACCACCCCCCCCGTAAGGTCACAACCTGCAGGACTGCTCACGAGTTTCTTCAAGTCGGCCCGTCCCGGTGGCAGTGCAAACGATGTTTGAGGTCGAAGGTGAACACATCTGGTGCTCTCGACCGGAAAGGTTGGCGGCCAGCAGAGGCGCCCCAGAGTTTCCAGCGTGTGGCCCAGTTTGCCCACACGGACGCTATCCAGTGGTGTGGGCTGACCCCGCGCCCAGAGGCCGAGGTTGGAAATACGCTCTTGTTTTGTAAGCGGTGCTGCCAATATGCGACCACCAAACCCCTAGGACTCGGCAAAACATGTTCGAGTTTTGGTGTCGTGGGTTAGCGGCGTAATGAAGCGGCGCAGCACAATATGCACCGTTGTTTGCAACTCCAGCACCCGAGATGTGGCAATGAGGACCGTATAGCCGCCCATTGGCCCCTCTCGGAGCAGGTTTACGGAGCTCGCCAAGCCCCCGAACCCCCGCATGCTTAGGGCTGTTCGACGCTGTGTGACCGTGGAGGAAAACCTCCCCCTCTACCCCTTCCGCCTGTGCTCACTACTCCTCGTCCCTTGCCCCCGCCCCCTGTTCATGCTGGCCCCCTTCGAGGCAAGCGAGTGAGCAGGAGATGAGAGGGAGGTCCTCCACTACCCCCTGCTGCTCCTCCTCCTCCTCCTCCTTCTTCCCCTCCTCCTCCTCCTCCTCCTCCTCCTCCTCCTCCTCCTCCGCATCATCATCATCATCATCATCATCATCATCATCATCATCATCATCATCATCACCCTCCTCTTCATCATTATCGTCATCATCATCCCTCATCGTCTTCCTCTTCCTCCTTCCTCCTCCTCCTCATCTTCAACGCACCCCGCGCTGCTCCTTCAGGGCACCGCTGCAGATGTCTAGGTAGCGCCCGTTCTCGCACATGAGCACGAGGTCGGCGCAGTCGTACGCCGCCGACAGGGAGAGCGCGGAGTTGTAGCTCTGGACGCTGACCTGTCTCGAGGAACGGTCGATCGATCGATCGAGGATCCAGGACCCAGGCCAACATTCCCCTCGTCTCCACTCCCAGCAACTCCTCACTCCTCCTACTGCTTGCTCCTGCTCCCCCCCCTTTCCCCCCCGCTGCTCCTCCTGCTTGCCCGTGCTCCTGCTCCCTTGCTCCCGCCCGCGCTCCTGCTGAGGCGCACGCCCCTGCTCCTCCTGCTGCTCCTGCGACCGCTCCCGCCCCCGATCCTGCCCCTGCTCCTGCCCCCGTTGCTGCCGCGTCTCCTCCACCTGCCCCCCTCTGCTGCCCACCCTTCACATACTTGGAAACAACAAGGCCGTTGTTTGTTACGCCTTCCGTGCTGCCGTTTTTGTCGCCGCTTCCGTCGCCGCTTGCTTGCCGGCTCCGTCGCCGTGTTCTTTCCGCTCCCGGTTCCGGGTCACATCCCGGCGCCGTTGTTTTGCCGTTTCCAGTCGCCGCGTTTTGACCGCTCCTTCCATCTCCAAGAGACACTTCTCCTAAAGCGGTGCAACAACGGCCCTGCGGCTCCCAGGGCCCACTGAGCCCCTGCCCCCCTCTGGCGCTCCCCGTGGCTGAAGGGGAACACAAATAAATACACACAAATAAAAGGATTCCCCATATTTTCCCGAATTTTCTGGGTTTTTGTCCTCCCCCCACTTCCCGTATTTTCGCATATTTTCCTGGGGATCGACGATTAATTGTGTCTGTGTGTTTTCTCCCCTCCTGAGTGGCCATGCTTCGCGCCGCCCTTCTGCAGGTCCGCTGCCTGGAGAGGGACCTATAGCGGGATGCTCCCGCCCGCAGGCCTCGAATGCATGGGGCTCTCACGGGCTGCTGCACTCTGCGGGCTCTGCCCAAGGACACCAGGCAGGTGCCTCCGCGCGCCACCCTGGCGGCAAACCCTGGGATGCGACGACGCTGCTCCTTCCCCACCGGCCAAGAAAAAAACAGGTCGGCTTGCTGGCTGGGAGCTGAAGCATACTCAGTCAGCGCCCCTCAAACGGGGACTCCACTAACGGATACTTTGGCCAGTGACCCAGCGAACCAAACCCTTCCCGATGTGGGCAACGCTGCAGTGCCAGAAGAAGGCCCTGAAGTGGCAACTTTCGGCATAAGTTCAAAGCACCCGTTAGTAAGTACCCGTTACGGTGCCATTGACTCAGGCTGAGACCCGGACGGCCGGGACTTCGGAGCTCAGCTCCTGGAGCCGTTCGGCACGCACGCGCCCCCCTTGGCCGAAGACATGATCTTGACCATGGCGTGCAGCCGTCGCTGCTGCCAGAAGCAGCACCGAGCGAGGAGCGGCGGGGCTCTCCTGGCTACGGCGCGCCTCGGCCGCGAGTCCGTTCCCCTGCCCGGGTCTGAGGAGTGCTCCGAAAGCAAAAGCCCCGCCTTGACCCAAAGTGGTCCGTGCCTCAGCATCTTGACTGTGCGCGAGTGTCGTGCTCCTCCGCTCAAGGGCAGCTTCAGCGCCACGGGACGTACCGTCTCAGGCTGCCCGCCCAACACCCTCAGGATGGGCTCGGCGTTCACGGGCGGTGCGACTCTCGGCCTCGGGGAGCTCGGGGGCACGTGAAAGCCAGTCTCGGGGAGGAGGAGGAGGAGGAGGAGGAGGAGGAGGAGGAGGAGGAGGAGGAGGAGGAGAGGAGGAGGAGGAGGAGGAGGAGGAGGAGGAGGAGGGGAGGAGGAGGAGGAGGAGGAGGAGGAGGAGGAGGAGGAGGGAGGAGGAGGAGGAGTGAGGAGTGAGGAGTGAGGAGTGAGGAGTGAGGAGTGAGGAGTGAGGAGTGAGGAGTGAGGAGTGGGGAGTGAGGAGTGAGGAGTGAGGAGTGAGGAGTGATGAGTGAGGAGTGAGGAGTGAGGAGTGAGGAGTGAGGAGTGAGGAGTGAGGAGTGAGGAGCCACACAGGGGCGCCGTGCCGCAGATGCTGCTGGTGCGCGCTTCTGCTGGCAGCCGCTCGGGTCTGCATTCGCGCCTCTTGTCGTCGATCCGGGGGCCGCGCCCTGGAGGCCTCTCGAGGGCCTCGGGCCAGTCTTCGAACGACTTAGGGCCCATGTGGCAACTGGTTGAAGCCGTCCCGCTCTGGGTGCCCTCCTGGGCCCCCTTGCCCCGTCCCTGGGGGCTCTTCGAGTGCTCTCAGGCCGTCCTGAGGTGGCATCGGCACGCAGTCCTTGCTCCCAGGAGTATGCTATCACGAGGCGCGCGGGCGTCAATGATGAAGCATGCAAGCATCACAGTCCTCACGATAATGACCGGATGGCTCTCCGAACGAGCCGCTCGCGCGCCGTAACCCCGAGCCGCCCAAAGCCGCAACATCGTCAATGAGCCAATGAGCATCGTTTGACCGATCCGCATCCTCACTGGCTTAGTCGTAGTGTTGGGGATGCCATGCTGTTCCCCTCGGGTTTCGTAGGGCTGATCCCCACCTGGAGGGGGGGGGGGCTGGTGGGGCTTAGACACCATGGCCCAGTGGGGATGGGAATCACTTACAGTGAGGTCGCGGATGCAAGAAACCCTCGCAAGAAACCCTCGCAAGAGACCCAGCCCTGAAAACTCCCGCGGGAGCTGCACCTAAGGGGGGAACCCGGAACACCCTGAACGCACCAGCTCCTTCAGCGGCCGCGGGAAGCCACCGCGCAGAGCGCGGAGCGTAGAAACCCGGGGGGCACCCTGACGAAAAGCATCTGGCGTCTTGCTGCGCGCCCCCCCACTGTAGACGATGCTGGCCCCAAGGACCCCGCGCGCCATCATTGCCCGAGGCGGCAGCAGCACGCGGCGCCCCTTCGGCGCAAGCGCGAGCCAGCCGCCCCCCCTCCCCCCACGACGGTCTGGGGCGGCGCCCACCGCCCACGCTGCCCGCCGCCGACGGTCCCTGATGTGGCGGCCCTCACCCTGTCATCCTTCCTGCTCCTGCCGCCTCTCCTCCTCCTCCTCCTCCTGCTCCTCCTCCTCCTCCTCCTCCTCCTCCTCCTCCCTCCTCCTCCCTCCTCCCCCTCCTCCTCCTCCTCCTCCTCCTCCTCCTCCTCCTCCTAAGACGAAGCCAGAACGAGGATGAAATCCGGCGAGGACCAAGTCGGAAAACTCGGAGATCCAGCGGCTCTGGAGGATGTCTCGGGCGCCGCGGCCAAATTTCCGAGCGTTCGAGGACGTTCTGAGAGCGTTCCAGAACACTTTGAGAACGGATTCACCCTCTAGCCACGTCCGTCCTCCTCCTCCTCATCCTCCTCCCTGTCCTGGGTCACGAAGCATCGCACTGGGCAATGCGACCCGCCCCGCGGGAGCACATGTCTCGGGCCGAGAGAGGATTGACGCCTAAGATGGAGCGGCGATCCGATCCCGAGCAGCCAAGCCAGTCTTGATACTGGTTCGCAGTCGTTCCGAATTCGAACCAGAATCCTTAGCGTCCTCCTCTTCCTCACCTCGTCCTGGTCCTCGGCGCCGTCGTCTTCCGCCGTCGTCCACCTCCGAGCTCTCAGGCAGGCGAGCGGCGGAACCACCCCCCCAGAGGTCTCCAGAAGCCCCCCGAGGTCACCCGAAGTCTCCGGATGTCTTCGGAGGCGAACAGACACAAGAACAGGCGCGCGGCCCTTGATCCCCGATGTGCCATGGAGGAGACGGGTCCTGAGGGAGACGCGGGTCCTGGATCCCGGGGGCCTTCCCACAGAACCATACCTTCATCCTGAATTGTTTCCTGGCGGTCCCAGGGCGCTGGGGGGCTCCCGGAGGCCGAAGACGGGGAAGAACCTCAGGGACCGTCTCCCTCAGAACACCCGCTTGCCTCATGGCGACTGGCCCTCCATCCTTAGGTCGGGCATGTCCCCCCTACAGGGGGATTCTGGACGACACATAAAAAAGTAGCCAAACATAAATACACCAAAATAATGCACAATGGTACAACAGTCGTCCCCAGACTATTTTGGACTATTTTTGAATATTCCTCCTCTAGAGGGACAGGCCCGACTTAACTCGAACAACATATTGCATACACGTAAACGCGCGGGATTTCTTGGGTCGGCGTTGAACCCCCCTCTCTGGTGCGCTGAGCGCGCTGGGGGCGACGGTGGAGGCGTTTGCCAGTGAGGTCCAGCGCCGATCTAAAAAATCCGCGCGGAGCTCCGAACATTTGAACTGATGAAGTCTTCTGCTCCTCGACCCTCCCGCCGGGCGAAGCGGGTCATGAGGGAAACGGGTCCTGGACCCCGGGGCCACTTACTCATCCTGGATCGTTTTCTGGCCGCAAACGGCACACAGACTCAGAACCCGTAGCGTGTCCGTCAATTGAGCAGGGACCGACCGTCCCGGCATTCCTATAGTCCTACCACGACATGTTCTAGAACCCAAGAATGTTCTAAGAACACAAAAAAGTGTTCTCATAACATTAACCAACGTGTTAACACAAGACAGTCCCAACCAGAAATGTTCTGAGTGCAAACCACAAAAGGTTCCTAGAACATTCTTTGGTAGGACCATATCTAGGCGAACCGGGATGCTTCGCCACTGCTCGCCTCAGGGCCCGCTCACCTCCGGGCGACCCCTCCCTCCGCCTCGGCCCTCCCGCCGCTCGAGCGGCAGCACCTCCCCGGACTCCAGGGGCCACACGGACACGGCCGCCAGGGTCGTCGACGGGAACGCGTCCCGCAGCAGCTGCAGCACGTGCGACCCCACGCCGGAGCCCGTGCCGCCGGCCACCTGGCGGGCCGCCCCCGAGCGCGCGCGCGCGCGCGCGCCCGTGCCAAGGTGCCAGTGCCGGCTGCTCTCACGGCTGCCCGAGGCGAGCCACGCCACCCTGTCCTCCTCCGCCTCCTCCTCCTCCTCCTCCTCCCACCCTGGCTGTGCGGTGCATCTACGCCTTCGCTGACTGCGACGAGCAGTTGAGCCACGCCACCCTCTCCTCCTCCTCCTCCTCCTCCTCCTCCTCCTCCTCCTCCTCCTCCTCCTCCTCCTCCTCTTCCCACCACCACCTCCTCCGCCTCTTCTTCCTCCTCCTCCTCCTCCTCCTCCACCTCCACCTCCTCCTCCTCCTCCTCCTCCTCCTCCCTCCCACCCTGGCTGTGCGGTGCATCTGCGCCTTCGCTGACTGCGACGAACAGTTGAGCCTGACCCCGGTACCTCCCGCTCAGGGGGCGCTCCGGCCGTCCCGAGGCCCTACGCTTCCTCCCCCCCCGCCTCCCTCTTCCCGCGTGCCTGATGCGCACCCGTCGTGCCCCGTCGTTCGCAAACAACTTGCTGGATCCAGCTCGCCGCCGAGCAAATGATCCTGGCGAAGGGCCTGGCCACATGCAGTTGTGAGAACTGTCGTTTGTGAGTATCGCCTTCGGTGGAGCTCCCTGTGTGGCCACGAAGCGTGCGAAGGGTGTGCTTAAATTGGGCGGGGAGACGCATATGGACCCTCCCATTGAGGCTTTCGGTGGAGCTCCCTATGGGGCCGCGAAGCGAGTGAGGGGTGGGCCACGACACCTGTGAGGGGGGTGCCGACATAAGCGTGGCGGACGCACGTGGCTACGCCACCTGGAGCCTCAGGTGGAACTCCTTATGGGGCTACGAAACGTGTGAGGGGTGTGTCGAAATGGGTATGGCGGACGCATGCGGCCGCAACCACTGGGGCCTTAGGTCCAATGGAAACATGAAGCTTGTGAGGTGTGTGCCGACTTTGGTGGCGGACGCATGTGGCCGCAACCACAAAAACCGTAGGAGGAGCCCCTTTATATGGGGCCACGATCTGTGTGAGGGGTGTGTCGACATGGGTATGGCGGGCGCATGCGGCCGCAGCTACTGAGGCCTTAGGTGGCACTCCCTCTGGGGCCACGAGGCGTGTGAGGGGTGTGCCGAAATAAATGTGGTGGGCACATTCGGCCGCAACCACTGGGGCCTTGGATGGAGCTCCCCGAAAAAACTACGGAACGTGTGAGAGGTGTGCCGCAATGAGTGTGATGACGACGGTGCTGATGTCGATGGTGGCGGTGATGGCTGGTGAAGACATGCGGATGGTAAACGCAGGGATGAGAGGAGGGAGGTAGAAAAAGGAGTGAGGGGGAGGAGGGGACACAGGGGGAGGAAGGACGCGGCGACTGTCTCTGCAAAACAGGGACCCAACTCCACAGGATGATCTGGGAAAACTATCTGACGCACGCACAAGGACGACCCCAGACCCCTTTGCTTCGGCGAAAAACTTGTAGCTGTTGTCTGTGCTTGTTGTTGAGTTCTCATGTTTAAAGAGTACTGCTCGCCAGCGTGGATCCCAAAACATGTGTTTTTAGACATCTATATTGTGTGACAACGTACGCAGTGCAAACTATTTGGTGCAACCTATATGGCGCAATCCAATGCTCGCAAAGAGGTGTAAGCTCCACTGCTCGCGCAATCACCCCATCTACCCACCCATCCGCAACTTGGTTTGCAAACCCCATGCGGGGGCAATTGTGGTGAGTGCTTGGTGTTGACTAGTTCATCCCAGCGGCCTCGCTAGCCCGCGCATGCTCGCGCGTAGCAGCCAGCTAGACTGGCGCGACCGACGCGCCGCGGTTGCGCTGACCGCGGGGCACATCCCAGCGGGCACTTCAGGGCGAGTCGGCGACTTGGGTGGGCGCGGTATCATGGCAACGTCGACAACGGTAGACACGATGATGCTCGTGGCGATGGTGCCGGCGATGTTGACAGAGACGGCGGCACGGCCAATGACGGCGCCGATGCTGATCACGCCAACAACGATAACGGCGCCCTCGCGTCGGTGATAAATCTTGGGAGGAGTTCGACATGCGCGCGCGGCCGACGCGCGAAAATGGCGCGCATGGAATTATTTGACACGGATCGTGCCCACCCAGCGTGTGCGTAAGGGCGTTCGAATGATTTCGACATGCGGAGCGGAGAGGCCCCTTTGGCAGAATAGAATGCAGGTCTTGAAAAACCGATGGTTTTTTTCCGGAGGATTCGCAAAACCGCGAGCGCAAGTTTTTTGGACAACTGAGGTAGCGAACCATGTTTTCTATGTTTTCGGGACGTTCGATTTTTACATCCTTATAACACCTGAGGCTTTTGAATGATTCCGGCATTCGCGCGCGACGACGCGCGCATGTGCATTTCCTTTGTTTGTTTGCGAAAGATTCTTGCGACAACACGCGCACAAAAGGCGTTCGAACAATTTCGACACGTGTGCGCGTGAAGCCCGTTTGGTAGCATTTTAATCGCATGTTGAAGACCATATGGTATTCGTAAAATTCGCAAGAGCGCGCGCGCCTGTTCTTATGTTTGGCAATCCCCGCTGCGAAAGAAATTTGATTATATGTTTTCGGGACATTCGACTTTGAAACCCTTACGGTACCTCAAGTTTTTGAAGGCTTTCGGCGCGCGCCGACGACGCGCGCGTGTGAACTTCGTCTATTTGTTTTGCAAGGGTTTCTTGAACACTTGTACATATTGATCAGCGAATGTGCGCGCATAGCTGGTGCAAAGGATGAGGGAGGGGAGCCGTTACCATCTTGCCTGAGATGACACGAGCTCGTATTCAGGATGGACGATGGGGCAACAATACATGTACATTGCAATACGACGAGAGGAGCGGTTCAGTTCAGGTGGGGGGGAGGAGGTAGATCCGAAAACTCGTTAAGAAAAGAGAATCTAAGGCGGCGGCGGGGCGGCGATGGCGACAGCACAGCCGCCAGACCGAAAGACACGCCTAGATGACAGGCGGCGACGGGGCGGCGACGGGGCGGCGGCGACGACAACATAGTCGCCAGACCAACAGGCAGGCCCAGACGACGGACGGCGACGAGTCAGCGACGGGGCGGCGAAGGCGACAACAGCGCCGCCAGACCAACAGACAGGCCCAGACGATGGGCGGCGACGAAGCGTCGAGGGGGCGGCGACGGCGACAGCGTAGCCGCCAGGCCTATAGACAGGCCGAGCTCCTTGCCCCAGAAATTAAAAACCGTAAGTGTAGCCAGTGTCTGGGGATTACTGTTGATCCCAGCCCGCGGCACGCATGATGTTCTTTCAACTGATGTGCCCCTCCCGGGGCTCGCACCTGGTTTTACACGGGAGAACCTCAAGCCTCATTTTGCGCCCATGGCCCCTAGCTTACAACAACAACAACAACAACAACAGCAGCAGCAACACCACCAACAATAACAACAGCAACAACAGCAGCAACAACACCACCAACAACAACAACGGCTCCTACCCTATACATCTTCCCGAATTATCCTAAAACGCGCTATCACACGGGGCGTCCGCACAATTTACAAAAAGGCATCGCGCTCTCGCGTGGGAATTCCCTGCGATCTATTGTGACGCCGCGCCCTTGACACTCAGGAATCACGCTCTCGTCGCGGACTTCCTCGCGCTGTATTTGGAAAAAAGGGACTGACGGATCAACTACCCGCCTGCTCGACCTGGCCGTCTGGGTCGGCCCCCCCGATCCGCCCGTTATGGTCCGTCCACCCGACCCGCCCGCCTGGTTCTGCCGGTGGTGTTCCTGCTCCCACCCCCTCCTGCAAATCTCTCTCGTGCCCCATGCTTCTCCATCCTCCCTCGCTCCCTCTGTTTCAGCTGCTGCGCCAATTATACGTGACAGGTGAGGAAAATATCCCCCCAAAGGGGTGCGGTCGAAGACAAAGAGGGCGGGTATCGAGAGCTTGGGATGCACATGCAGAATGGTACGCAAGCAGATAAGAGCGAACAGCCTGAGAACATGTAATGGGGATGTTGAGCTCTCACTTCTGAAGGAGAAGTGTTATTGTCCCCCCCAGTGCAAGGCTGTGCTTTTCAATAAAGGAGCTCCTCCCTAGGCTTGCACCGTGGATTTAACCAGGGCAGATTTTCCTTTTCAGGTTGTACTATCGGCCGCCAGCTTGCAGCAACAACGGCTCTCGCCTGGTACTTCTTCCCACTGCACCCCTCTCAAGTGCACCTTGTGTGCCTTCAACTTTCCTGACGGTGCACCGCCTGACCTTCTCGCGATGCGCGTGGTACTTACGCTTCGGCAGCCCGCCTGCTCGACCTGGCCGCTTGGGCCCGCCTTCCTAACCCGCTCGTTAGGGTCTACCCGCCCGATCAGCCCGTCTGGTTCTGCCACGTGCTCTCTATTGTTAGCCCCCCTCCAGCTAATCCCGTGTTCCATCCTGCTCCTTCCCCTTTCCATCCGTCCTCTCCTCCCCTGTTTAGGGGCTGCTCCAATTACGGGTGGCAGGTAAGGAAGAATTCCCCCCTGGTAGGTACGATCGACGATGAAGAGGGCGGGCATCGAGGGTTTGGAATATACGTGCTGAATGCCACTGAACAAACAAGATTATCCCAGAGCGACCCTACCTGGGAGTTGGAGCCCCGAGGAGAGCAATATTAGTAGTAACGGTAAACGCCGTCCTCCTTCTTCTCCTCATCGTCGCACTTGTAGCAGTAGCGGCAGTAGTAGTAGTAGTAGTAGTAGTAGTAGTAGTAGTAGTAGTAGTAGTAGAAGCAGCAGCAGCAGCAGTAGTAGTAGTAGTAGTAGTAGTATTAGTAGTAGTAGTAGTAGTAGTAGTAGTAGTAGTAGTAGTAGTAGTAGTAGTAGTAGTAGTAGTAGTAGTAGTAGTAGTAGTAGTAGTAGTAGTAGTAGTAGTAGTAGTAGTAGTAGTAGTAGTAGTAGTAGTAGTAGTAGTAGTAGTAGTAGTAGTAGTAGTAGTAGTAGTAGTAGTAGTAGTAGTAGTAGTAGTAGT